AGTAGTGATAAGAAAGGTCTTTATATGTTCTCAAATGTCTATGTTTCTTATCACTCAAAAGCCAGCAGATATAACAGAAACAGTACAATCAAGATGTTGCTGGAGACGCCTGCCTGAAAAGGATCAATTATTAACAGTTTTTAGGAATACTTTTGGGATGGATCTATAACTGCCAAGAAGAGACGGGTCGAACTTGGAGTTTTTAAAAAGTGGCTTAAAATTACCAGGGACCTGATCAGAGACCAGGGAAGGATTCATTACAGTGAGCACACAGGGAGCATTTAAAATGTGAAAAGAATAGGAGGATGCTTTCATCGAGTTACCTCAGATAAAGAAACACGTTAGTCTTTCTAACATAACAGACGGAGCGAGAGGTAGAAAGAGACACGATGAAAGAAATGATGATGAAGGAAAATATTTCCCCAGACCCTGAAATGATTCCACTTTCATTTTAGAAAAAAAATACTAATAGTGAGTAATCGTTTCACCTATTAATAAACACAGCCTTGAATTCCAGCCACACTTCTTCACGTAGGAAACATGACTGGAATGTCATGTCTTAAATAACATCTTATACAAACATATATCATCAACAAGCAGTCTGATACCAGGAGATAACTATGACATGCTTTGTTTGAAGGACACAATAGATATATACGCACAACTATTCAGAAATGTTGCAATCCCACATTACATACGTTACCTTACAAGAGAAACTACAGAGTAAACATAAATAATATAAACACATATGAATCTGTGAGGAAAAAATAATGTTACAATCAATTTAAAGCTTACAGTTCAGAAGATTTAAATTCCTTTTGATCCAAAAATAATTTGACCTTTAAAATACAACTTAGACGTTACCCCATACAAGTTAATAGTTTGTGTTTTATTAGAAAGAATCCTAGATCCAACAAAGAGCAACCAAAGCAATGGCAAGAACATATAATACCAGGATAAAAATGCAAGAAAGTGTATGTTGAGGGGTTAACCGTCACTGCTTTGAGCCCACGTGCTGCTTTGCAATAATCCAGGGTGACTACTCTGTGCTCGGCTTTTCTAAAAGAACCTCTTTGTTCTTATTGGTTACTCTCCTTTTCCTACAATTAAAGGAGGAAAGGTTTTCAGTATGAGTCATGCCAGATGCGTGTCATCTTTTCCTGTTTCCAAAAAAGTCTTTATTTGAGTAAAGACCAAAAAGAAAACCTTTTTCTTCTTTTTTTGTAATTTACAAGTTAAAGATATTTGATGCTTAGTCTAAATGCGAAGGATCAGTAACTGAATATTTTCAGTTTACAACAATACAAAAGGAAAAAACGCACTTTCACATTTGAGTTACAAGCAAATCTCAGAAACAGTGCCCTCTAGAGAGGGTTAGGTGACTTCTGCAGGATGCAGCTGCTGCTTCAGACTAAGTTGCAGGTAAGCTGCAGGCATGACATTTGGGTTAAAGTGATCATGTGATTTTTATGCTCAGACAAGTTCACATGCCCTTATCTGCTGCTTATCACCGATAAAGCCGACTTCCAGGCTCTTTTTATTTTATCTGGCTGATAAAATAAAAAACAGCTTTGTGCTTCTTATCACTAGTTTTACTGAAAACCAGTAACATATACACAAAAGCTCCAAGACACTGATACCATCATTGTGCTGTCTTTAAACCTCCAACTTATCCAGACATGTTCACACTGCACCAGTGAAATAATCTCAGACAAAATAACAGGTTACATTAAATATTTAAGACTAGAATCAACAACTCACCTGACTTCATTTGCAGGAGAAAAAGGATAAAGTCAAAAAAGCTTGGGACCGTTGTCCTGTTGCATGACCCAGTTTCAGAGAAGCTTTAGTTGTCAGTTTTGACTCTAGAATACTTTGGTATATGGAGAAGTTCATGGTCAAATCAATGACCGCAAGGTAACCAGGTCCTGTAGCTGCAAAGTCAGCTAAATCACCTTTCCACCACTGCATTTGCACTGCATTGACATGAGGTGTTTATTCCATGTTTGGGTTTCGTCAAATGTCCTACTGTGCAATGCGGTCAGATATTAAGATCATATTTGTTTAGGCTTTTTCTATTTGTGCTATCGTGAGCTTTAAGATTTAACATGCTGATTGAGGTCTGTGGAGTCTGAGATGCAGCTCTTATGTTTGTCATAGTTTTTCTGAGCATTGCATTTTGGGATGAACTTGCTGCCACGTCTAAGATTGCGATGGTTTGTTAACACACAGGTGATTGTTTTCCTGCATTTGATTAGATGCACCTGGCTGCTACTCATCTTCTTAATTCTTATAGAAGAAAAATAGTTTTTCACAGGACTGCACAGCTGATAACACCTAAAAACCTGTGCATTTGTGTTGATAACTGCTGCTGACAAACTGAAGTTTTGTGACATCAATGAAGTCTCCAGTTCAATCTTTGTTCAAAGGTCATGTAAAAAACTTTTTTTATGTGTGAGGTGTACAGGCTTCACGGTTGAGGGTTAAAAGGTAAACAGAAACAATTTGCTTCAACTTTTAAGTTTAAAATTAATTACATTTTAGCTTTGATCATGTTTATTCCTGTTAACTCGTGTGTTTAGTATTTTTTGATGTCTCAGTCAGACAACTCACATTTGGGATGATTCATGACGGCTGCGGATTACTATTAAGAGTTTGGTGTCAAGGCTCTGAGCTCATCACTCCCTACAAATATGATGACTAAACATCACACATGTGCAACTTAAATAGACCAACAAGTCTGGTACGTTTTGGGTGTAAGACGCAGTGCAGCTCAGTTAACATTTGCCTTAGAAATAGGGCTGTGTTAACCATCTCTGGGAAAAGTTTCACCATGCTAGCTCAAAGCGGAAATAGTGTAGTGACAGCAGCTTCATTATATTTTACACGAAGACTCGGAAACCTGTCATTTCCTTCCTGTGTTAGAAAAAACATGTTTTTAATCACAACAAAAACAAATGGAAAACTTAACTTCAACAGTTTCCTGCTTAGATTGTGCAGCAGTGATAGGATCCAGGCATCAGTCTCCATCTTAAGCAATCTTTTCCAGAATGAAAAAGCCCCGATCTACAGGGCACGAAAGGCCACTGAATGTTTTCATTCTTAAGAAAACCACAGTGAAATAATATGCAATGACCCAGAATGACTCAGCGGATCAACATGTTAAGGCAGTGCTCGCTCAGCACCTCGAGTAGAGTTCAGGGATTCAGACAAACCCTTCTGGCTGCAAGCAAACACCTTACCGTGATTACAATCCCTAAACAAATCTTTTAACCTGTTAAGGCCCCAGTGGTTTCATGATCTCCTCCCTTTTGCACCCATCTTTGGGTGCATGGGTGCTTAAGAGGTTAATAATCATTATCTTTCCATTTTAGATAATGCTAGTTCCTGTTTTATAATCTTTCTCTTGGATAATTGACAGCTTTATGATGAAAGCATTCTTGCTCGTGGAGATCGACGCGTTCACAAGTTCACTTTCTTGCTAACGTGTTGCTCTAAAAGATCTGTTAGTCTTTTTTTAGTGAGAGATGTGAGGCCGATGTTTCAAACCAGATTTCAAAGGTAAGAGGCAAACCTGACAGGTTATTCAACACGGTTAGTGATATTATTATTCCTAACCCGCATGCTTACGTTCGTAATTTTTTCAATAACAAACAGAAACAGTAATGTGAAAAATATAAATTCTCCTTCACCATCTTTGGTGTCTGTTTGCTTTGTCTGTTGTTTTAGAAAGTTGGTAAAAATCACTCATTCAATAAAAACATCCTCGTGCTCTCTTGACCTTGTACTTGCACCTTTGTCCAAATATGTCTTTCAGTCTGTTGGCCTCGGTGCGCTCACTATAATCAATGCTTCATTGGTTTCCGATCCAAGTCCTTGCTTCTTTTCACATTTCTGTCACTCACGCTTAAAAATCAATCGTCTAATCAATTATAGATCAAATCAAAAAGTATTAATAAAAATTAGAAACAGCCACAGAAAGCGATTGTTACCAAGTTCAGGTCCTCTTTCACATCTCGTCTATTGTGTGTGTCCTGTTTTGGGACCTTTATTGTTTCCTCTTCAGCACATTTTGAGCATTTATCAAAATTTCCAACACTGCTATGCAGATGACATTCACATATATATCACTCTTAAGCTCCAAGATGTTTTCAAGCAGCAGATGTTGCACACGTACTTTAGCTCTATTAAAGGTTGGATGGTAAGTTTCATCCAACCTAATGAGGAGACGTCTTTGATGCGTCCCTGACAGATTTGCGCCTATGGTCATGGAAACTCTGGCTCCTTTCACCAAGCTGAGTTCCACTGTGCCGTGCTCTGAACTGAAAGTGATTATTTACCGGTATGCCTTTATTTCATCACATTTGGATTAGTATAAGTGTTTCTGTCAATCACTTTTACGCACAAACTCACCGATTCTTACCAGATTTGTATTTCTTTTAATAAAAATAAGCCATTTTGTCATTTTATGCAGTATTTAAATTTATTTTACTTTGACTTGTGGTAATTGCGCTGCTTTAAAAACAAACAAGCTTTTCCTTTGTTTAACCGAGGTCCTTTTACTGTATTGAGCAATTTTGCAATCCTGTATTTATTTTACTGAGCTACCTTTAGGCTATTTTCTATATGTCGTTTTCAATTTCTGAACTTCTGAGATAAATTGAAAACATCTTATGAGCAAGTTCAATTTAGTGTATTTCTCATTATTCATATAGATCCTCGATCCTTCAGACATCAGTGTGTGATATGTGGAACTGTTAAATAGGAAGTCACTTCATTCCTCACTGCACACCATTACTGATAGCCTGACTTTAACCCTAACCTTTTTATGTGTCACTTCAGGTTATGATATGTCAAACGACAAGCAACAAACGTGCGGACACTCGATAGAAAATGTGCATGAAATGTCACGGTACTCATACACGATATTTTATGATTTTATTTCTCGGATTAAAGGCCAAGTGAATTTGAGACTCGAGTGAAAAACAAAACGCACAACATTTGATGATTGTAGAAAAGCAGGAAATTTATTAGAAGGGAAAACATGAGGATTGTGACAACAAGATGGCTTTGTTTATTCCTGTCATGATCTACTTGAAATAGAAATGTGCAACAAAAACCCCAAAACAACCTTAACTTATTCAGTCTAAGGAGTCCCCTCTTATTGCCTGCCCCTCCCCTCCGTTTTTCTGCCCACCTGAGCTGTTTGCCAGCTCCAGTCCTTCGCCTCTGTGGGCATGAAGCAGCTCTGAACTCAACCAGCTGGAAGACAAGGGGGAGAAGGAAAGAAAAGTTTTGAGTGAATTTCTAGAGAAAACGTAACCAGGCATGACTTCAAAAACAAAGCTTCCTCGGTCAAACAAAATGTACCTGCCTATCTCACAAGCCCATAAAAAAATGCATTTAAGGTGGACAAAAACATCCAGACTTCGAATCAGATTAAACTATAGCACGTGTACATTTACAGCTTTCAAAGAGTGACAAAACGCATTGGAGGCATCACAAAGCACTGCATGGAATATTAAGGTAAATTTAGCATGAAATCGTCTCATTGTGTTGAGTAACAGTCTGAAATCTGCCTCCCGGGAGCGCCAAACATCTGTTGTCGTTTTTCATCACAACAGCCGGGAGAGACTAAAAATGCATCAGAATTCAAGGGAAAGAGGAAGGTAACACAGTCTGCATGCAAGAAGCTCCTACTGAACACCGGGTGACTACAGAGGAAGGAGGCGGCTCCAAAGGTCAAGGAGGAACAGAGGAGTGAAGGATGAACGCACAAAGAGGATACAACAGGAAAACCTAAAGGCTTTGTTGTTTGTAGAAGAACATTTTTAGAAAAAAAAAATTTTTTCCAGCTAAAACTGCTTCAGCGAACATAAAAATAAGTGGAAACTACAGAAACAAGATGAGATGAAACGAGATTAAACAGTATTCTTTGGAAGTCTCTATTTAGTGTGAAGGCGTTCGTTTCTTTTACTGGTTTTCCTTTTAGATCACAACTGTTTGATCTGAAACAGCCACCATCAAAACAAAAACAAAAGGTTAAATATAAAATACACCTTTTGGGAGCTGCAGAAACAAAAAAGACTGAACTTAAAACATTTCCTTGTAGTATCTACTGTTAAGGTTTTTGCAATCGTCCTTCAGCTCATGTCTGATCCTTGTGACGTCACACAAAGTGATGTCAGTGCTGAGAGCCTGAAGCACAGCAGAAACACAAGTTTAAAAAAAATAAAGTTCACAGTTAAAATGTAACTTTTGATCTCCATTTTCAGACCTCTGAAGTAAAAAAAATAAAAAAATAAACAGGCATCTTAAGAGGGGGAAAAAAAGGAGCTTGAGATGGCTTCATTGTGTGTGTTTAGCTCACGACTCTTTAATGTGGAACTGCATTGCATATCAACCCTGCAATAAGTGATTTTGTGCCACTTAGGGGCAGCAGACCCAAGCTGAATCACTATACACACTGACATACAGTAGTGTCTTTTCCTCATTTTCTGTCACATATATACAGCACACACTGTTGCAAATACACACAGCAAGCTCATTAAATATGGCCCGAATTTCAACTACTGCACGCATGTTTCTCCACACATAGCACATATTCATATCTTTAAAAGTCCCCAGACTTCACACAACTCCAATTCAGAGATGTTTCTTTGTACTCCTGGATCTGTTTGAAGCCACTGAGAGGAAATGTGTTTCATATAGTCTTCTCAGGCGCGCAGAAGCCCCACAAAACTGATGCTCAAGCCTTGATTACGAGCTGATAAAAAAGCAGGAGGAGATAAACCGGCTCAGTTCATACAGTGGATGAACTGAGCCCAGTTTAAGGTAAATATGAAACTGGAAATTAGCACAGCACGTCCCCTTTTAAGTCGATACAGTGACAGTAAGAAAACACTTGCTTCTTTACACATCTTGCAGCCAAAGAACATTCAAGCATTTTTTAAACTATATTTTGGTCTCGACCAACTCTAGAGGAAACCATCTTGCTCTTTATCTGCTAAACATTTAATTCCAAGTCTTAGTTATCTGTAGCTGTACAGGTAGTAGGTTTTGCATGAACAGATCCCTGCTTTGGCTGAAAAATTACACCTCAAGAGTGGCGAGGTGATTGTGTTTTATCATAAAATCTAATCATAGCTGCTAAAAGTCTTCATGTCTTCCCAGAACTCTTAAAGTTTGGTCACAGTTATTTTAGGAACTAAACACCAGAGAAAAACCCCAAGAGTGTTTTTTTTCTAATTACCCATCGGCAGTAAACATGCTGACTAAACTGAAATGTCAGTTATCTGGTTGCGAATCAGTCATCACGGATTCAGACGTGAAATTATCTGACAGATTCTTGGAAGCGGTTCGAACTATTAAAATTCCAGGATCAGCGTCAAGGAAACAACATGTTGGAACCAAAACTTTGTAAACGCTGCAAAAATATTACTGGTATTAACAGGCTGAGCTGACATCATGCCAAAAAGTGAGCATCCTGTTTCACAGTTAAGTACATAGTGATTAAAAAATTAACGGTATTACGACGTAAAAAAGATGAAGTGTGTTCTGGGAAACAACTTGGGGGAAGGAAGTGTCCACTTTCCACTCCTGATTCATCACTTCTGTAGCAAACTATATTAGGAAACACAAATGAGTCTTGTTCTACACTTTCCAACATATCAATAGATCGCTATTTCTGGATCCACTGTCAAGCTGCTCTAGACCAGGGGTGTCGGACTCCAGGCCTCGATGGCCGGCGTCCTGCAGGTTTTAGATCTCACCCTGGGTCAACACACCTGAATAAAATGATTAGCTCATTACCAGGCCTCTGCAGAACTTCAAGACTTGTGGCGACAAGTACTTTCCAATATCACCTCTAGTGACGTGCAATCATACTTTTGAGCTTTTCTCTCTGCCAGCGTGCTGCACCACACCCACCGCGGGCAGCAATGTGTGGATGGGAGGCCAAAACTGTGAGAAAACGATGGTGTGGACGTAGCCTTAGGTAAAGCACAATGTCTTCTGCATAGAAAACAGAAGTGCATTAAGGATCTTTATCAGTAACTGAGGCGGTCAAAGTGTGAAGATACAAGCTATTTTTTTCCTTTAAGCACTGAAAGCAATACCACTAATATGAGAGCAAACTGATGTTCCAGTCTTGATCTGCTGACTCTGTTTAAAAACATTTTAAGTCCGTGTGTGTCAGACTGAGCAGATTTGTGACTGGTTCAGCTAACATGCTGGTGTTTTCACAGTTAGCGAGGGAAAAATACGCTGACCTGACTGAAGTACACGAGGGAAAACAGCTTTAAACTCACACATAGGTGCATAAATTGTACTGCAAAACTCATTTTTGTATTTTTGGCAAATGTCGGCATTAAATTGATGCTAAACAATGACGCAACTTATGTCAGGTAAAGCTCAACTTATAAGCAGCGTTTAATTTTTTGCCATTAGAGTTAAGTGGAAATCTGATTACCAGCGAGTCTCAGAGACACAGATGGCCTTGAGAAGTTAAAGCAATACTAAATATAAAAGTAGACTTTCAATCATACCTGTGTTTAGATCTGAGCGAGTTGTGAGTATCGCTGTTGATGCAAATTGCAGCAGTTGGGCACTACGGGGTTTTAAAGTACCTTAATTGTGTACTTGAGTGCGTCATTGGCCACGGGGCCAATCTGTGGCCAAGAACTCACCCTCTTGTTTTCAGAACACACCTGAGGCTGTTGCCACAAACATTACTGTGCCTCAACTTTCCCCCTGCACCCTGCTGCAGAGGTTCAGTCTGCAGACCTCTAACATCAGAATATAATTCATACTATGACACACTCCACTTCCGGTTTTGCTTTTTCTTGCACTTCAGATGCATTCAGGGACAAGAAGGAGCAGCAAGTACAGCTGGTTTGGAAAAACAGAAGATCTAATCTAACATTAGGAGAAAAGGTGAAGAAAAAAGGGCAAAGCCATTGATTAAACAAGAGCAAACCTGTCCAGCAAAGGCAAACAATATGCAACAAATGTCAATATTTTCAAAATGCGCTCTGGTGAGGAGCATCTATACAAACGTGCACGGCGTTCTGCACTGCTTAAATGTCAAAACCTTCTCACATCTCTACGGTGAAAAGCAGCAGTGTGGTGCTAATCGATGAGCTCTATTTTGGCTTCTTCTGTGATGAAGAGTAACGAAAACGATTCTACATCCGCTCTGTTCCTGTAACATTGATGATGCATTGCTGCTGAATTTCTTGAGCCGTGACGGCACACCGAGTCTCCATCTTCCCCGTTTACACTTCAAAGTTACATTTTGTTGCCACTCTGACACTCGATCCACTCTTGTATAATCTCCGCCACGCGGGGGGAAAGAAAACAAAACCAAAACATGAAAACAGTCAGGTGAAGGGCAATGCGGCAAAGAAGGAAAACTTTAAATGAAGAACACTTGGTCTTTACAGGCTGTGGCACGAGCGGGCATTTCCGTGGCGGCGGAGAACGCGGCTACGATGGAGGCGAAGACGACGTTTGGGCTCTGGGCAGCGTCGACGGCCGTGTGCAGACCCCTGGCACTGTAGTACTGCACCAGAGGGGACGTCTGCCGGTGGTAGGCTTCCAGGCGCGAGCGCAGGGTGTTCTCGTTGTCATCGCTGCGGCGGATCAGTGGCTCACCCGTCACCTGAGTGCAGAGTAAAAAAAAGAAAACACACAAGACGAATCAGAAACTGTGTTCTTCTGAGTTCGCAGATCTTTATCCCTTCTGCCTTCTTTCTTGCATACACAACGGCTTCTTCTTTGTTTCTACTCTGTAAGCGAGCAAAACAGGATTTTTTTGAAATTTTTGCTTTATTTAAAAATAAAAAATTGCATACAAAATGTAAAGCACGTTAAAAGTAGAAATGCCCGACAACACGATCGGTTGTGCAAGAACTGATTAAAAAAAAAAAAAGTAAATATCACATGACTAATCCAAAATGCATACAATTTTACTTTACGAGATATATTATTGTTTCAGTCTCTATTTTATCGTACAGTCTTTACCTTCCAACATAAAGTGAGTTGATGCAAATGTAGTTGTGATTTGGTGCTATACAAATAAAATGTAATTGGAATGTAATTAAAAAAGTAATATCTGATTTAATATAAAACGTCCTGTATTTAACTGTAAATTGTACAAATGAACTGTTGCATCGGAAACTGAGCAGATAGCGTTCGACAGTTTTCAAAGCGAAACTTTTCTCAATTTGTGCTTGGTACAATATTTCATCAGGGGAGAAACCCCCCCCAACCTTGTGAACACTTGATTTGTTGTTTCCGTTTCAATACTAAATAGTGTTTCAAACATCTTTCAATTAACCATAAAAGGCACAGCACCAATGAGTGTTCAATCCAAATTGGTTTTTTTGTGTCAATATAGAGTTAAATGCAATGCATGTGCACGCACAAATAGTGCAGTAGGACTAGCATTAAGCCCTGGTCACTCATTGACCATTAAACATTGCTTTTGTGCACTGGGATGTCAACATAGCAACATGATCATTCGCAGTCAGGTTTCTAGCACGTTGCCATAACTACAAAAGCTGTTGTTCCTCAAACTAATTTTTTTAAAAAGAAAAAGAAAAAAGAAAAACAACAGAAACAGGAATCAAAGCACCGACTTAGGATCTGATGTTTTTCTGCAGAATCTCTCCTTTAAGCTATCGCATTAATCTCCCCCTGTGCTGGCTGTGAGTCCCTGTGCTCTGGCACTGATGTACGACAACAAACACTTGCAGAGACAGACCTGCTTGCAGACTCAGACTCGTGCCTGCTGTCAGCACCTGATTACAAAAGCTGGGAGGTGAACGACACGCCGAAACAACTCCAAGGTGCAGCAGCAGTCATGTCCCACTTTTGAAACACTCGTGTTACACAGTACTTGTGGGTCCAGTCACACCTGACATTCATTACATGTAATGTTTCATGATTACCACATCACAACAGTGCAAGGTGCAAAATGTGTGCTCAAACGACACACACACACACACACACGAACCAGCTTGGTGCTAGTTTCTGCTACATTAGGTTCAACAGCACCTTAAACATCTGCACACACAGACTGAATTGTTGCAATTTTCACTAAAGCATAAAACTGTACAGTCGTTGGAACGTCAAGTATAAAACCCAAAGGAGAAACTGAATAATTAAAATTAAGTCTCTCTGCTGCACATTCCTTAATCCACAGAAATCTACTCATGGAAAAAACAGGAGACAATCTCAGGAAAACTTCAAAGCTCTCTACAGTTGTTTCTCCGCATCTTCAACAGCAGAAAGAAACATGAGATTATAACTTCCAGTTGTATTGCTTCCCCTTTTTCATGCATGTGTGCAGACGGAGCATGGTTAGACTGCCAAAAAAGAAAAACTTCAACTTGAGTTTATTTGAAGAGCAGACACTTCTAATGTGACTCATGTCACTTTATTAGTAACAGGATGTGTGAAAATGAACATCGAATACTACATTTCAAAGAGGAAACATGCCTCATGTATGCAAACACATTTTTCTACACATTAGTGGTTCTTATCTAACATTCACACACACTTATACTCCAATGAATGCATTGGAGAACAACTTGCCCAAGGACACTTTGGCATGCAGACTGAAGCAGCCAGGTATCGAACCACAAACCTTAAACCCTCCATGCACATAAACACAGGTAGTGTTTGTAATTTGGTAGCCCTTGTTCTGCCCTACAGCCACCTGAACTTGTTTTCCACCTGCAGCACATTCTGATTAAAGAAGCCCTCCAGTCTGCTGAAGAGCAGACAAACAATTACAGTCACAGCTAAAGTGCAGGTGGAATCTGAGAACGGTGGACTGTTGAATCAGAAACTCTTTGTAAAGCAGCCAACTGATATCATGGACTACCACAATGGAGACGTAAAGAGTGGAAAAGTGTTTAAGGAAAACGTGAGAAAGGACACACTGGCTGGCAGGCAGCGACTCAGCTTTTGGGTATCGGTGAAGATCTGCTAACTGTTCATCAAGTTTGATTAAATTCTGACAAACACTGCAGGAGTACTGGTTCTTGTGACGCGTGGGTGGATGACAGATAGCTCATTTTATAAGCTCATCAGTCCTTAACATAGATGAGCTAAATATAAGTCAGCAAAGAGACTTGGGGAGGTGTTAAGCTACCCGAGCGGTCTCTGTATGATAAACCCAGACATGGTCAACGCCATGTCTTCGTCTACTCACACACTGGTTGAACTCTACTTTGAACTTTTGCCATCTGCCAGGCTGAAACAACTTGTTAGCATTTTTAAAAATCAAGTTAGTAGATGGCCTAATACATGACCTTTGGTCTTTTATTTAGTACATGTGTCATAATCTCCTGTTGCAATAGCGCAGACAAGAAACTTCTCGCCGTCGCCACACAAATTTTATTCAGTTGCTGCCAGCAGACAAGTTCCCACATGCAGAAAATAAAATGAAGGAGTGAAGTATTCAACCCAATACTGAGTAACAGCCAGTGAAAAGTATTTGCCCCCTAAACCTAATGACTGGTTGTGCCATCAGCAGCAGCAAGAACTGGATTTAAATGTTTGTATAACTCGCAATCAGTCTTTCACATCGCTGTGGAGGATATTGACGCACTCTTATTGTTGCCACATTGGAGAGTACAAGAATGAACGGCCTGTTTATGGTCCTGCCAAAACATCTCAATCAGGTTTATGTCCGGACTTTGACCAGGCCACTGCAAAACTTTTTTTTTAAATTTTTGAGCCAATAAGAGGAGGACTTGTTGGTGTGTTTCAGATCATAGTCCTCCTGCTTAACTCAAGTAACCCAGGGCACAAAATGATGGCTTGACATTCCAGGATTTTCTGGTCAGGAGCAGAATTCATGTTTCTATCAGTTACAAGTCATCCAGAGCCTGAAGCATGAAAGCAGACCATCACACTACATCATGTTTGTCTGCTGGTTAAAAAAAATAATAATAAAATGCCATGTTCATTTTACTTCACATGTAACAGGATTCAAACCTTTACAAAGTTTGACTTTTGTGTCATCAGGCCACAGGATATTTTCTCTAAAGTCTTGGGGATCATCAAGATACATTTGCTAAATATCAGACGAGCCTTTTTTGTTCATCTCCCGTGGATGCCACTTTTGCCCAGTCTCTTTCTTATTGTTAAATCGCTATGTTGGTGCACCACTGTTCCAAATTTGCTCCACTTTCGGATAATGGCTCTCACTGTGGTTTGCTGGATTCCCAAAGCCTTAGAAATAGTTTTGTAACACTTTCCAGACACAGACTTTGTTTCTCGGTTGTTTCTTTAGACACATCTTTAGGCAAGACGTGTTGCTTGTGATCATGATGCAATCTTTTAGCCTACTTTGCTTTATCAGAAAGGTTGAAGAAAAATCTGGTTTATCACAGTTAGTTCATGATTTTGGGGGGCGTCATTTACTTTTCCACACAGGGTCAGGTAGGTTTGGATAGTTTTTTTCAGGTAATAAATGAAATCATCATTTAAAAACAGCATTTTGTGTTTATTCTTGCCATCCTTGCATAACATCAACATTTGTTCCAGTTGATTTGTTTGCTCCACTCGTTTGTGATACAGTTTGTTCTTTAAGAGCAGATTAGTGGCTCTATTTAATTGAGAAAATGTACTGAATAATCTAAAATGCATGGAAACACTGATCTAAATCTTTCTGCTGGTTTCCAGGCTGGCAGTCATTTTCGGTGGGTGGCAGTTTAGCCAGAAATGGTTTCTAAGTGGGTGGAAAGTACTTACGTCATCCTTCATGGACTCTTTGGGGGGGTTGAACTCCTCGTGGTAGGAGCGGCCGCTCGGCTGATGAATTAGTCTGGGGAAACAGAGGGAAGATGGTAAGCGGAAGCAGAGCACAGGACAAGGACGTTAAAGAAATCAGAGCAAGAGTGAAGGAGGTTTGACAACCACGGTGACTCATTAACTACTTAACTGTCCTTTTTTTCCCATCCCACATGATGCCCTTGTCCTACTTGGGCTTGAAAAGGCAGCAGTCTCTTCAAAAAGGACCCCCACAGAGAGAAAGATGACTCTCTGCAAACTAGATATGCTTTCTACTCAGCGTCACGTGTGAATAATGCGGAGTGGGTATAGTGAAGAAAGGGGACACCGATGAATGTCTGAAGAGACGTCTGCGTGTGGGTCAGCTTCAATTCAGGGCTCAGAGTCTCATACTGAGTGTTCTGAGACTTGTTTTGTAGATCATTAGACGTATTAATGTACTGCATAAGAACAAAAGTAAAAGGAGAGAAACACACCAAAGAAAACAAGAAGTAACAATTATAACTTATTGTCCAGTTCTCTCTCATTTCAACATGTACAGCTTATGCAAACATTAGGTCAGACCAGAAAGTAACACATTTCTGTTTCAGTTCACCAGTGCTGACTTTCTCAACAAAAGCTGAATGCAAATCTTGTAACAGTATGTATAACAATGTAATAGGGATAGAACGAGGAATGAATAATGATGAATCAGAATTCAGAATAACTGATGCATTGTTTTGAAATGTACCAGAATAAACTCCATTACTCGCATTTCCAGTTTACTTAGATGTGAAGGTCACCGAGGTTCAAAGTTATACAGGGTTGTGCGGTTACGTGTAACCGCACAACCCTGTGGTGTTGGCGACATACATAGGTGACACGCCACCAAAGTTCACTGCAGAAGTCTCAATCAGACATTGCAGGTTTCAGCAGACTAGCATTCTGGATATAGCTAACTGACAAACCCATGAGTACATGGCTGATTACCAAATTGCTACATAATCCACATTAAAGATGTTACTTTAGTAAACTTTCATTTATAGTTACAGAAATACAAAAGGTAAAATTCACAGCACATTAATATGAACATCACAAAGTGCTTCACAAAAAAATGATAAAACTTTAAAATGAAATGTTACCACTTTGAATATAATTTGTTCTACTGATATTCA